GCTATATCCAGTCACACAGGCAGTTCTTCATTCTAGAATAATCTAAATAGGAAAACTAACAGCTTCCAATTATAGCTTCTAGAATAATAACCAACACTGATTTTGTGGTTTCCCAAATTATCTCTATCTCAAAGTATTTTTTGAAATCCCACAAATAAAAATCCATAAGTAAAGTGAAATGAATCAGAAAAGGGAGGAAATCTTATTCAAAAACAAAGGTTGCTAGTGATAGAAATTATGTTTTATGTTTGGAATAGCATCTAGCAGAGTGGGGTAGACATAATTAAGACTCACTATAAACTCTCTTTGTGTGTGTAGTTTTATACACATCTTGTTCTCATTTTAGAGCCATGTAGGCCTGAGATTTGGTGCTCATGATTTTATAGAAACTATTATCAGGATTGATTTGTTTTATTATTGAACTAAACTAAAAACCTGTATATTCAATTAGTATGGGAAAAAAAGAGCCTGCTCACAAACAGCTGTTTGATATAAATTAAAAAGTTATTCCTAAATCATAAAAAAGCCACTTGAGCTTTATATGACTGCAATGAAGTTCAAAGTTCTATCGAACACCAACATTTAATTTATTAGTATATGAAACTGGCAATGTGTCAAGGGTGCTGATTAATTAACCTGATTTGGCAAGCCAGACATGGGCTAGGAGTGATTTTTTTTTGACAATTTCCATAAAGATTGCAGAAAGAAACCTAGATCTGTGATCTGCCCTGTGTCAGAAGAAGTTCAAACAGAACTAATTGTAAATATGGTAGTGTGCACCATCCCACTTCCTATTTAATTCTTCAAATTTATTCAGACATAAATGGAACTTGGAAATATTCAGAATCTATAAATTCTTCATTCTTTTTCTTTCATCTCTTGTCTGTGCTTCAGATAATTAAAAAATGAATGTAATTAAAAGTTTGATGCACCTTTGGTCATCACTAAATAATTCAAATATCAATCATATGGAAATGGAATTCTCTTTGATGACTAAATAAAGCAAATATTTAAGCATTTGATGACCTTGCAAATTCCAGGATGTGAGTATTGCAATGATTCATTCTAAAGTGGTAGAAATCCATTATCTTCAATTAAACACTAAGATAATACATATTAAACTTATAGAAGAGCTAGAAATGTATAATGAAATCATTTCTTTTTCATATAAATACTTTGAGAAAATTACCCAATGTCTTGATATTGATACTTTGTCTAATTAGAGATACAAAGTTAAATGGAACGTAGTTTTTTATTTAAAATCATTGTCTAACTCATGATTACCAAATGAAGTTTGAGTAGCATATGAAATGTGAAATAGAACTACTATGTACTGTGAATATATCACGAATTTTATTTTCTAGTGGATTAGACTTCCATCTTATTATTTAGTATTTTATAATAATCTCATGTCCCTTCTCAAGGCAATGCCATCATTGAATATTAAAATTAAACAGAAAACTCTTAGCTCAGACAATGGATCCAAATAAGTCCAAGGCAAGAGGTACAAGGTGTTTTCTGGTTTAGCAGCATTTCCAGAGACAAACATTGTTCCGAACTACAGGCTGTGTCGATAACCTCGGTGGTGGTGGTGGTGGTGGTGGTGGTGGTGTGTTTCTGTGTGTGCCTGTGCATGTGAGTGCGTGAGTATGCATTTGTGTGTGATGAATTCAGCATGCTTCTTTGGAGAACCTTATAGTGTGTGAGGCAGAGGGGCTATGTTTAGGCAACATGTTCTGTCCTCAAATAAGTCAGTGCCCAGTAGGTGGAAGAGACGGATGATCTAGAATATTGATCCACAATGCCTTATCTGCAATTCTTAAAGCCTATTTATTTTCCCTATTTATAGTTTTCATTTATCTTACTTAACATGAATATTTATATGTTATAAGGTGCTACTATAGACCCAACTGTAAATATTATATAATGTTAATTATATGTACAATATTATCTTTCTAAATTATGAAAAATTATAAGTTCCAAAATACATTTCACCCCATAGTTTTCAGATAGGTATAGGTCTGAACAGCATGGCAAGTGATTCACACAGAGAAAAGGGATACTTAACCTAGAATGGTGGCGGGCGGGAGGAGATGGGCTGGGGAGGAAGAAGAAGCAACACTTGAGATGTCTCACAAAGATCAATATGAATTAGAAGTACAAGTGGGAAGAGGAAGAGGTTCATTCCAGACAGATTACACTTCATGTGCTAATTGTGGTGAGGTGGTAAGAGAGAGAAATATGTTGGTCAAAATTCTGATTATTCATTGTTGTATAATATACCATCGCAACATATATGACTTAAAACAACAATGATCACTCACTTTGCTCACGAATGTGCAAATTGATCAAGATGTATTGGAGACAGCTCATCTCTGCTTCACGTGGCATTAGCTGAAGCAGTTCAACTGGGTCTAGAGAATCTGCTTCCAAGAGGACTCACTCATGTGGTTAGCAAGTAGGTGCTGGCTACTGAATGGGGGCTCAATCAATAGAGGCTGTCAGTTAGGCAGGGGCCTTGGTTCCTCTCACACAAATCTATCCATGGGGTTGCTTGGGCTTCCGCATAGCATGGCAAGTGGTTTAAGAACAAGTATTTTCAAGAGCCAGGAAATGGGAACTGCTATTCTCATAAGGCCCAGGCTCAGAAACTGGCACAATATCACTTCTACTGTATTCTATGATTAAGCAGTTACAGAGGAGAAGACACATAGATCTCACCACTCATTTGGAAATATGTTGCAAATTCATGGCTATCTTTAATAAGCCATAGTTGACCTTATTGGAGCTTTAAAATGGAAGGTGAAATAGGATTCGTAGGGAGTGGGGTGGGGAATTGAGGGAAGGATACTCCATTACTCTATAGATTCAGTTCTACCCCAAGAAAGCGTATTCCTAATAGAAAAAAAAGCAAAATAAAATTTGTTGGACTTCATGTTACTGCCATTCCACAGTCAACAGTCCCTTCCATTTCCATCCCTGCCTTCCACACAAAATAGGGTGGGGATGAAGAAAGGGGGGTTGAGGGGTGGAGGTGGGGATTATTTAATAAAGTTTGAGAAAACATCCAGAATTTAAATTGCTTACATTCCTACGATAGAATAATTTAATCTCAGAAGGCCACTATATGTGGAGTATCTGCGAGACACGGTTTGCTCTAGTCATCTTATACCAGTGTGTGAGTTATTGTGTACATCTCTCCCTCAATTCCACATTCAGCGACATCACACTGGTAGGTAGCTTCAATCTAGCTCTGGCGGGGGTATTTATATCCACAGATTGGTGCATGTTATAAGTCAGGTTTTTTTCCCTCTCAGAGAGTGAGTTTACCACCATATCTACGTCAGCCTGACCAGAGCCCAGGAGCTACAGAAAACAACAGAAAACAGGGTCCTGCTTTTGGAAACAGAGCCCAGCTTTCTGAATGACTATTACTTACTGGAAAAAGAAAAAAAGAATGCCAGAAAGAATTAAATAATTTGTTTCAGTGTCAAATGAATAGCACTGACAAGGATAAATTAGGTAAAATAGAAAAGTGGAGTGGCAATGGTACAGTCATAAAAAAGGTTAAAAACAAACCCACCTGGGTTACAGAAGTGGCTGGGGGAGTGGGGGTGCCCGGTGAGAAATGCTGTAGGAGAGAGAGGTAAGGTCTTCCAGAGGTTGGGGGTGGAGAATAGCTGCTCACTGCTAGCTACAGGCATAGCGCTTGGAGCTAGAACTTTTTAGGAAGAGAGCCCAGGCTCTCCTCCCTCTTTTGAATCTCCTTGAAACATACACCTTTCAGTTGCTTCTTTGTCCTAGGTGTCCTTGGCTCTAAGAGGTTCTTCCCTCCTTTCTCAGAAGGAGGCGAGAGAAGCTTTAATCTTGTGTTTCCACGGAAAGAACAAAATTGTATTTGGGACACTATTCACTTCAAGCTAAAAAGTACAGCTCGTAAACTGTAAACCAGGAACTGCAATGTCAAAACAGATTTCCAGGAGCTGGAGGCTTCAGCAGCCAGACTGCTTTCTAAACTAGCTGGGAGGAAATTGCACACTTCTGCTATGTTCTTGGGGTCTGGAGGCAGAAGCATTGCTGTAAATAAAGATAAGGGTTTTCACTCGGTGGTGGTATTGTTCCAAAAAGCAATTACGTTAGTGTTTTTCCTCCTTCTGCTCTCAACGGGCCTCAACTCTGTTCATCACTGATTACAGAAGCATTATCAGCTGTGCCACAAATCTTGGGGTTCCAGTTAATCTCTCTCTGAGAAGTCATATTAAATGACACTTGTTTCTCCAAACACGACTCTGCTATAAATATATTGAGAAGCATTAAGCCTCCTGTTCTTCAATACCCCCTGACGTGAATTTTATCTTCTGCAACTTAAACTAAAAATTTGAAGATTCTTCAAGTTATTCAGGAAATGTGGCTAAACCATTCCCTCCCTCTCTTCTTCTTCAATTTCCAAATATAAGAGGACGGCCTTGATTGCAAGATCCAAGGCGATGCATTTTAGGTGCACCAATCTCATGTTTAGGTTTCGCTGCTGGAGAAACCAGGAGGAAGACATCAGGGAAAGCAGAAAACAGGGTGGCAGAGACTAGTTTTGGGATGGATGGTGGTGGTGGGTGGGTGGTTGTTAGAAATAAGTCACCTTAGGAATGTAGAATTGGCCCCCAAGAATAATAGGACTTTTTCTGCCACCAGTCCATGTCATCAGGAACAGGCGACTTGTCCTCTTTCTGAGTCATTGGTGACAAGTCTGAACATTCTACTTAGCAGGGGATTTGAAAAGGTACTCATAGAAAAAGAGGTGAAGGCCCCACCCCATCTCTGTGTGACCTGGGACACAGGGCTTATCAGTCAGGCTCATTAAAAGGAAGTGACTCTGTGATTGTTTTTCCTAGAAGGAGATCATGGATTAGAAAGGAAGCAGGTTAGTTGTTAAAGTATAAACTCTTTTTGATTCACAGTAACTTTAGACAGTGAGAGAAAGGGCTCCTTCACTCTCTGAAGACTTGCTGGCCCTACAACCTGTTTCTGCCCTGGGACAGTCATAACCAGCCATCTGGATCCTTACTGAGGTAATGGGGTTCACCCGAGTCTGTTACTTTCTAGTTTGTGTTATAGTTGTGTTATGAAACAATATAAAAGTCACTCTCTAAGTCTGATTTTCAAAAGAGAACATAATTAAATCGCTCTCTGCATTCTCTGCACCTTGGGGGCAGGTGCAGGGGGAAGGTTAGCTATGGCCAAGAATAGAGAATCACAATAGAAAATCTGTACAGAATATTAATGACTGAGGAGCAACATGCAAAAGGAGAGTAAAGCAGTCGCGTGTCCAGGGATTTGTTATCTGCGCAGCGTTCTCTAGAAATATCTGGGAGTTCAAAAACGATAATACAGTGTTTTTCCTAGTCTTCCAAATCCAAAATAAGAACTTAGAAGAAGGAAGAAAGGAAGGGAAGGAGGGAGAGAGGGAGGGAAAAGAAGAAAACCAGCTTTTGTTTTTTTCCAACTCTTGGATAGAAAATATCATAGTATCCACCTAACATTTTTAGACAAAACCCCAATCAGAACTTAGAAACCACAGCTCCTTTAGGTACAATCATTTTTCCATATATAAAAAAGTAGTATTTCTTGACTTCCTACCACAGTCAACACATAATTGTATTGTGCTAATTGTGAGGCCCACCCCAATATCTCTAGAGCCACAGAGCAGGACCCACAGTCCTGAGGAGTGAGCCAAATCAGCCCATGGGAAGACTTCCTGTGGTAGATCTTTTATATACGGACATTTCTTTTATAGTTAGAGCACAGGGCTTCAGAGCCCAGGCAGTTATTTATTTAACGATCTTCATTCAACCAATATTTATTTTGTGCCAGCATCATTAACTTAGGGGAAAACAATTTAGTGTGGTTGACCCTCATAGAGGAAGAAGGTAGATGAAAGTGAGATTTAAGATGAGGCAGAATCGTATGTATCATGCTAAGAAATTTGGAACTCATGTATCTTTCTTTTCTCCTTGCTATCTAGCCTTTCTTCTAGAATTACTTTCTGATATCCCACTACTGTGCCACCAAGATAATATGGGTCACAGGTGGAGTCCTGAAGGGAGAGAGAAGAAACAGCAGTTGGAGAGAGAGGAAATCACGGGAGAGAGTGATCATTTATGTTAAGTATCAAAGGGAGGTTCAGTGGGAAAGGAACGGAGAGAGGCTTGTATTGGGTATTGGCTTCTAAAACAGACAAGTATTGATCTCTAAAGGAAATTTTAATATTCCTTTTTGTTGCCTCAGCCTCCCTCAGAAAGCTCTTAGTCAAAGATCAAATAAGTTGAGACAGAAGGATCGTGATGGTGAACGTGGCTAAGAGACGCTGCCAGATGACTTGTATGTAAAACCACTTGGTGCTGAGTATCAGCATGGGTTTAAGGGCCAAAGAGTTTGTTAAATAGTGAGGCAGGATGATTTTAATTTTTGTTCATTACATTTTCTCAATCTTTTAACTTTTCTTTCATATTTTTATTTCTATCTCACGTTAGACTCATATTTTCCTTCTAATTTGTTAACTCAAATTTATTTCTGTAATTATCATTGAGGATTGTTTTTGTTTATAAAATTTCTATTTTGTTATTTTTCAAACTTATTTTTTTCCATACTGCCCTTTCCTTTCATAGGATTTTTATTTCTTTCTTTATCTTTTTAAACATTTCAACCTACTTATTTTCAAGTCCTTTCACATAATTTATCTTCAGATCTTGGGGTACAAATTATCTTATCATGGTCGTTTGCTTATTTTCGTGCTTTAAAACTTATTTAAAGTTGTAATCTCCTGTTCTGGCTAATTATCTTCTCTGGAGGTGTGGCGTTGTGGGAGTGTGCTCACAGAACGTTTTGTGTTTCCTTTTCCCGGGGCCTGTCGCCTCGGCTTGGCCTGGACCATGCTTTAATTTTATGCCAGAAGAGAAGGATTAATTCTGACCATTTATCCATGTGTATTGATGCTGTGAAAGTCAGGCCTTAGCAGAATGCTTAAGTTGGTACGCTTAGTTTTCAAGAGACATATTTTACAATACCTCAGGGGTAATTATTGTTTTTATTAGAGCCTCGTTTTAATAGCAAATGTCCAAATTCTTTTCTTGGGTGGCAAACAGAAGTCTTCTAGAGTCTAGTTCACATACGGATTAGCCCTACAGGACTGTAGCATTTATACGGATAGTTTAGTTCATGGCCCACTAGCAAGGGATACATGCCCCTACTTGTGTGGGCATTATAGTTTAGGCCCAAATCCTCTGTTAGAACTTACCTTTGATGCCACTTACTTCTCTGGCTTTGAGTTTCTTCTTCATTGCTGGTATGTGGAAATTTCCCTTTTTGGTTCTGACCTCTGGTGATATAATCCTTAGATAACTGAAACATTCAAAATAAGATTGATGACTGCTTTTGTTCTCCACACACCTTTACTTAAGGCGTTACTCAGCAAAATCAATAGATCAGTTTAGTGCCTGAATCCCTTCAGATACTCTCCTTAAAAATGTGCTCCCACTTGTCATCAGAGAGAAAAATTACCTAAAGAAGCTGCATATGGATGAAGATTATGTGTTTCTTATGTGATAGTCTATAAAGCACTTTTCTTATTTGAAAGCACTTTCAAAATCACTATTTTTTTGAATCTGACAAGGGAGATGAAGCGGTTTTTAAAATTTCCATCTGAATGGAAATGAAAAGGGGGAGGCCTGCAGAGGGAAAAAACATGGAGGATGGAAATGGGGTAACATCGAGATTTACAGGATGAGAAGAGGAGGAGGTACTCATGAGGATAACTGAGGGCGGAATCTCACAGGGGTGGGAGCAGAGAGTGGGCGCTTGGCATATACAGCAGGAGAGGTTTCACAGAGAGTAGTCAATGAGGCCAAATGCTGAGAGAAAGAAGAAAGATGAAATATTATTATTATATATGTATATATTTTTTGCAACTTGAGAGCTATTAGAGACTTTGGAAGAGCAATCATTGCAGTGTGTTAGGGTCTTTTCAGATGTAATGCATTAATGAATGAATGAAAAGTAAGAACGTATCTAATGAGTACATGTAGCTCTTAAAATAAGCCTGACTTTAAAGGAAAAGGGAGAGATGGTTATTAGTTATAGTGTAATATGGAATTAAATTGTTTTGGGGGGATGGACAGGGTGTTGATGGAAAAGAAAATTCGAAGACTTACAGGCAAGGGAAAAATTGAGAGGGAAAGGCTGGAGATATAGAAGAAAGTGAAATTACTGATGAAGTGATCCCATGATTATTCCTGAAGCAGGGAAGGTGGTCAATAAATATGTGAATGGATTTAAAAAAAAAAAGAAGGGTAGAATTCTATGTGGGGTATTTTAAAACCAGGAAAGTGAGGGAGGCATGGAGAGAGGTAGAGAAAAATGTCATGTGTATCAATTCACTTGCTTTTAGCTTCAAATGTGGAACTTACTATTCTCACGTAACAAAGAGTCCAGAGGTGGGATAAACCTAAGGCTGATTGATTCAGAATTTCAATGATGTCATCAGGGACCTTGATGTGCAAGCTTGTGGAGAAAACAAAAATTGTACTTTTTGCTCCTTATCTGAGTTTTTAATAGGGATGTATTTGGAAGTAGGACAAATGGAGGTACATTTCAGCTTTGGTGTTGATAGTGATGTTGAATGTGCCTTAGATGAGTGACTATCATGAGTTTAATAATGGACACTAGATAAAACAGCCTTACTACCACTCACCGGACAAGCCCAGGTCAGGCCCCTGCAGGAAGTAGTCACTTCACAAAAAGAAGCAGCAGAGCAGAATGTCTTATTACTTTGTAATTTAAAAAATTAATTTGACCGGAGAAAATCAGAACTTATTCAGAGCATATGCAACATATTATATGTAAAAGTACAATTAAAATATTTAGTTTCTTTGTACTTCAGTATATTAATATTTCTGAGAACACATTTGATTATTAAAACCTCCATCTCTAAGCAGAGTAAACACACTCAAAATCACTTCTTTCTGCATATCCTCTGCTCGAGTGCTAGAGAAGATTTAATTTGGTCAGGCTCTCTTTTCCCATTTTAATTGAGGATTTTTTTTCTTGTTCACATAATTAAAAATGAAGACTGATGAATCACATCTTCTGATCAATACTCATGTCAGAGATTGTTGCCCTAGCTTTGGAAAAGTTTGTATCTGTGTGAATTCAGGTCTCAATGAAGCAAATATAAATATATCTTATTTTTAAGAAAATGAGGGTTCTGCCTAGTAAAATCTAGGAAATCAGCCACCAGACAACTTCCAAATCTTTGACTTATAAAATTTCCTGCAACAAATTTTAAATAAGTTTTGTTGTGATAAATAATGTTAAAAATTCTCAGCTCTTTCTAGAAACACTGAGAACATAGAAAGCATTAAGTTTTCTAGTAAATGCTGATGTGAATGTACTTTGAGACCATCTGCCTCTCTTCCATGGCACCTGATGACAATACAGCTGTGGCTTGAGGGTAAACAGACCAATTTTCTTTATAAAGCTTTCAGCTTCAAAAACATGGGATGGAGGCTGACGCCAAGACTTGGCACCGGAATACCAGTTAATCAAAGAGCACTACATCCTTAGGAACTGAGTGTTCCTAAGGAGAGCTGGGTTCGGATGCCAGCTTGTCAAGACTGAACCATCTTAGTTCAGTCCAAGTCCTCAACTCCCACACCCAGCCTTAGCCAACAATGTAGTACTCAGGGACGATCCTATATGTGCAAGCCACTGTTCTAGATGCTTTCCATTTATGACCCCAGTTACTCCTCACAATCACCAAAGTGCATTCAGCACTTACCATGTGCTTAGTTTAAATATCATCACATGCTTTACACACATTACACCATTTAATCCTCAATCAAATATTTAGTTGTGAATAATAGATGCTAACTCTGACTGACTTAACAGAAAAAGATGCTATGAAAAAGAGGTCTACCCTTTTGATATACCACAGAGATATTTGGAGGGCTGGAGAACCAGGCTGAAAACTCAGCTAGCTAGAACAATATCCACACCACATAAACTTCTGTTGGTA